ACTAAAATCGCTTTAATCAAGCTATTTCAACACCGATGAAGACATATCTGACGACTGAATTTCTTCGATAAGTTTCCGAGTTGAGCTCTTGCCACTTCCTCCCTTACTCACTGTCTTATCATTAATCGCATTCTTTTGGAAGGCCTTTGGTAATTCGTCATCTGATTCGGACGCACTCGATGAGTCCGATTCTGATCGCCGCACTTCTGAACTTGATGCCTCTTCGAAAACTGACAAGTCTATTTCGATACGCGTTCGTTCTTCTGCCTTCAAATTAATCAATATAAATACAGATAGAATCGACGATAAATCAACGATGAATATAATTGTACAATTCCATAAACCATCAATGAACACTCAAAATAATCACCTGTTCAGATTTCTCTGCGTTTTCACTTATCTCATCAGCACTCAGATCCGAATCACTGTCACTCTCAACAACATTTGCGATATCGATACCGGACGACTCGGTTTGCTCTTTCGCTAATTTTTCATTCGCTTCAGCCATCTGAGGTAGGAAATCTCGAACTTTCGAAAGCAGCGAATTCATTCTGGTCACCTCACTAGCGTCAAGAGGACCTTTGCAGTGGCGATCCAACAATAACATTTGTGCTGAAGTAGGAAAAAATCGTCGTTGTCACGTATAATACAATTAGGCAGTGACAACAGGTGAGATAGTTATATAGGCAATGACAATGAATGTCATATTACAGGGCATTCGATCTTGGTAATAAATCTTGGGGATATAGCATTGAATGTTTGAGATAAGTGCACAGTAGTATCGAACTGAACGTTCCGTCTAGGTCCAATAAAAATATTTCAACTTTTCAATAGACAATCTCTCAAACGACAAATTTAACTTGAAGACATACGTATTCGAGGCGATTTCAGGTCAGAAGATGGAACACTATGACTTGCCATTAGCGTTTTGCGTGACTTCAGCTTGCTTCCAGAAAAAACTCAAACCAAAATCTGGAATGACTCTGATGAATTCCTAGTGAACGAATGATACCAGCACAATACCGCAATTTCGATATGAGACGGGCTCATCGACCGACAAAACAACAACACGCCACACAAAGCTAAAGCATCGTTGCACCAGAAATACTTTATTCACCTTTCAAATACTTTCCAACAATACGAATCGAAACAAGCTAGAATTGATTACGAGTGGCAAACAGAACATCGCTAATGAATACTTGTTGAACAACTTGGAAAATGAGACACGAGATTCTCAATCACCATAAAATAAAAATAATACTTGCAAGAATTCACTTCTCTAAGACTTTCAGTGAACAACTTTTACAATTCCAATGATGACTCAAATTACCAATCAAACTAGGCAATAGGCGATAGACAAAAATTTCCAAAAATTCCTAAAACAACAAGTTTTCAATGCTATAAACTTTTTTCGAAATTTCAGCTCGTAATTAATAATATAAGACTTCGATTGGTACAATACAATTACACAATATCCCAGGGAGAGGTGGGAAACCCTTGAAGGATTCCCTCACCGTTGCATTTCTCCAAAAATCTTGCCTTCCTGACAAATCGCTCACATTCTCAAAAAGGAACAAAAGCAAAATACGAATAACAAATTTACTCAGCAAAGCACACCAACGACAGAAGGCTTCTTCACAGAAGGAATAGACAGAAACAAAGTGCGGAGTGAATATAAAAGAACTGAAACGATCATCGTAAATATCACAGTGCTTCAATTACATAACACAAATGTCAACAGCAACAGCAAACGGCAAAACACAGCAAAATGAAATTATTCGGTACAATATTCCGAATAAGATTAAGACGCATAATTCCGAGAACAAATGGAAAAAAAGAAATAATTTCGAAACGCACAGAGTATTTTTTGTTCACACTCATAAAGTATATTCACTAAAAAAGTTGGAGAATCCGAAATGAGTGAAAGGTTTAATCAGTAGGAGCGATATTCATTTCCAGTCAAACATTGCTCTAGACCTAATGAAACTATTTTAAGAAACTAAACAGCTGATTGCAAAAGAAAAGACATCACAACCAGTGAATGAAAACTCGAACCTAGCATCGCTGAATTCATTTGCGGAATTCTTGTCGCATACA